GTCTGGCTGGGTCCTGGGTGACCACCTCTCAGCTTTGAGAATATCACATTGCTAATGGCTGTGTTTATGCACCTGGGACTTTGGCCACTTCTCATGGTTATGCTCATAATTTATGGGAGATGCCTGCTTCTGTTTGTCTGGGCCCCTGACTCGTGGAGGGGCTGGAGACTGCACAGTTTAAGTCAGACATGGGATGTCTATCATGATCCCGGTGTACCAAGGCTCAGCTGAGCTGCCTGGGTCTGTGGTGAGCTGCCTGGGTCTGGGATGCTTCACATTTGTTGACACACATATTTGCATACACAGTTGCTGGGATCTGTCCTCAGAATTAGCAGGGAAGGACAGCTGGAGGCTTGTCTGGTTCTTCCTAGATACCACCCTGTGTGCCTTTTTTCTTCTGCTGATTTTTGTCTATTTTTGGCTGTATTAAACTATAGTGTGCTGGGCATGGTGACACACAGCTTTGATCCCAGCACACAGGAGACAGAGAAAGATGGACCTCTGTGAGTTTGAGGCCAGCCTGGTGTACATAGTGAGTTCCAGGCTAGCCAGAGATACATAGTAGAATCCTGTCTCAAAAAAACAAACGACTGTGTGAGTGAGGTAACTTCTAGGTCCCATGAGTCCCTCTCATAAACAGCAATCAAAGAGCTCAAACACATCACAAAAAGCAGAAGTAAGGCTGATGCTCCAGCTGGAGGATCTAGGTTCTATTCCCAGCACCCACATGGTGGCTTACAGCTGTCCATAACTCCAGTTTCTGGGGATCCAGATATCACCCTTCTTGGGCATCAGGCACACACTTGGTGCATAGACATACATGTAGACAAAACACTCACACATATCAATCTTTAAAAGTGGAAGCAAGTACTATGCTTTTTTACAACTTTTTCAGAGGATCACACTTGTAATCTGCTTAAAGCGAAGAAGTATTTCGGAGTCTGGAACACAAAGCCTAAGCAGCAAACTCTGTCAGAATAGATATGTTCACAGTGCCAGAGGTGCTCTGCACTTACAATGCCCTGGCCTCCCTCCTCCAACAGATGGAGAAAGGGGGCATTGCAGACACACCAGAACAATAATGGAAAGGCCCTGATGGCAGTGAACAGATGGTTCTCAGAGTTGAACAGCATGAGTCTCCCCACACTTACTCATACATCTTTTCTTCATCTCTTCCATTGTGTTTCGAGGGCTTGGCAATCGCCCATTTCTTGCCTAAGGGGGAGAACCATATTCATTAGTGACAGTTGTGACTTCAGAATTTTGAAGTCCTTGGAAAACAAGCAGATCCAGGACATTTGGAAGGGAACTGCCAAGAGGCAACTGACTTAGGAACACCTAGCTTGCAAGTGACAGAGCTGGCATATGGACCCTGGCCATGAAGCCACAGAGCCTGGGTGTCAACCCAGGGCTGGCAATAGCCACGTGGGCTGTTTCTGCATTGTTTCATGCCATGATTAGCACCTGGTAGGTTGTGTGTATAGGCAGGAATGATTGGGATGAAATGAAATAAGAAATGGGAAGAATAGTTTATGCTGTGATGTGTTGGGTATGTGTAACGGCTGTTCTTGGTCGTCAACTTGACTACATCTGAAATTAACTAAAACACCCCAAATGGCTGGGCACACCTGTGAGGTATTTTTGCTTAATGAAATAATTTGAAGTAGAAAGATCCACTTCTAATTCAGATCTTTGAGGTGGGAAGACACACCTCTAATCTGGATCACACCTTCTCCTGGCAGCCTATATAAAGGACATGGAAGAAGGAAGCTTTGCCCTGTGTCTGCTTGCTCTTGCTCTCATTGGCTAGTCCATTCCTTCACTGATGTTAAACTTCAGGGTTCCAGCACATACTGAACACCAGCTGAGACATCCAAACTTGTGGACTGAATGACTACTGGATTCTTGGAGCCTCTGTTCATAGTCAGACATGTACTAGTTGAATCACAGATGCCTGAAGGACAGTGCCCTGGCCTTAGGGAGGCTCACCCAGGCACCCTGTATACTGTCTACAACCTCTGGGCATGCTCCTGGCTTAGGCCACATTTTATTTTTCTTTTAAATGCCTGGGATCTCAAGGGACTATACCACTGATTGGGGGTTTATGTTTCTGGAGATAAACAGCAAACCAGAAAACCCACTTATAGATAATCTAAAGTTAGTGTTAATCTCCAAGTAGTCTGAGGAGGCCAAAAACTTCTGGTCAAGATGGAGATAATAGCGAAAACAGGTCTTGGGGAAAGAAGGCAGTCATGGTGGAAAAGCACATTCATCATGGATTGGGTCTGTGTTTTAATGCATGCAGGAGACAGTTGACTTTCTAGAGACTTCTGTTTGTTCCCATCTGAGCACCACAGAAAAGATGACATCAGCACCAGGCAGAAACAGGGCTCCAGCCCCAGTGCCTGGAGACAGACTCTGCCTCTGCTATTACTCAAATCCTCTGACAAGGTCTTTGGAAATAAATCTCCTCCCCTTCACCATGTCTATGAGAAACTGAGGCCCAGGGACAGAGGTGAGTGGCATGGCTAGAAACCATACCCAAAGTGTGTGTGATGCTCCATCTAAGCTCAGCCTGCACACGTCCAGGCAGATCTGGAGCTCCACTGCACTGACACCACCTGCCCCACCCCCATCTGCCCAGGTAATTTGGCCATCATTACCTTGTCGAAACTGCCTCCTGCAGACACAGTACAGGATGAGACCCAGGACCAAGGAGACAACGACGATGGCCACAGCCAAGATGATCCAGAAATTGTCCCTCCACCAACTCATTGCCGTGGAAGCCTAAGAAGAATAGAGACGGAGGCATCAGTGGAAAGCCTGCAGGGTGGGGCTGTGACCTACCTCGCTTCCTGACACATCTGACGAGGAACCAGACAGTCAAACCCTATAGACAATTCCTGAGCAGGCCACAGGCAAGTCCTTAACATCTTCCGAGTCTGTGCCCCTTCTCTAACATGGGACTGATGCTGCCAACTGCTTCATGAAGTTTGGGAGGTTTAGCTGTATGTCATGTACCTACTAGGCACTCCAGAAATAGAGGATGCAGCTGAGGGACCATGTACCACTGAGAGCAATCCCCAGCTACAGTTCTTTATATCACAAAGACAAGATACACATTTTATTAGTGTGGAGAGAGAATTTTGTTGTTTGTCTTGAGGCTGGGCTTAGAAAAAATAGCTTGATATGTGCTATGATTTGAATACAGCTTGCTCTGCTAGAACTCACGCTGAGGTTTGGTCACCATGACACAGTATTGAGAAGTGGAGAGATTTTTTATTTAATAAAAATTATTTGATATGTATGAGTGTTTTGGCTGCATGTATCTCTGTGTACCACATGCCGTCCTGGTGTCCATGGAGCCAGAAGACAGTGTCTGATCCCCTGGAATCGGAGTTTTGGACAGTTGTGAGCAGCTGTGTGGGTGCTGGGAATCAAACCCTGAACCTCTAGAAGAGTGGCTGGTGCTTTTAGCAGCTGAACCATTTATCCAGCCCCTAGGATAGTGGGATTTCTTTTTTCCTTGTTTTTGGATTTTGGTTTTGTGGAGACAGAGTTTTTCTGTGTAATAGTCCTGGGTGTCCTGGCACTTGCTTTATAGACCAGGCTGGCCTCCAGCTCACAGATATCTGCCTTCCTCTGTCTCCCAAGTGCTAGGGTTAAAGGTGTGCACCACCACTGCCAGGCTGACGGTGGGATTTTTAAAAGTCATTTGGAGCTTGGTATGGTGGTTCACATTTATAACCTCAGCACTCCAGAGCCGGAGACCTCAAGTTCAGGGCTAGCCTTGACTACAAACAAACAGCTCTCCCCCAATAAAAGACATTTGGGTCATGAAAGGTCCACTCTAATGAAACAATTGACACTATTTTATGTGAAGGAGCCTTCACTTTTACAGGACTCGGTACACACCAGTTCCCTTCTAGTCAAGAGTTGAAATAGTAAGAGACCCTCTCCATGTAATCTTGGAATTCTCAGTTTACCTCTAACTTTCCAATTAACCATGAGCCAAAATAAATCTTTTTTTTTCCAAAATGAGTTATCCAGTCTCTTGTAATGCAACAAACCCAGACCACGAGTCTCTTTGAGCATGGTGTGGGACAAGCTGTAGATGCAGTCAGCTGAGTTATGCATGTAGAAAAATATCAGGAATTTAGGGGTCCAAAGACTGACAACAGAAGAGTCCAAAGACCCGGGGTAAAACCAAATATAACTGGTCAAACAAACAAACAAACAAACAAGAATCAATAAAGTGACTCCTCATGATTGATGTTCGTCTACACTCAGAGATTAGTGCCTTATCCAGTCATCATCAGAGAGGCTTCCTCCGGCAGCCGATGGGAACAGATGCAGAGAGCCACAGCCAGACATTATGCAGAGAGAGAGAGAGTCTAGATTGAAGGCCTCCATTAAATCCCTCCCCTCAGAGCTCAGGGAATCCTGTAGAAGAGGAAGCAGAAAGTGTATAAGAATCAGAGGGGAGCTGGGTGTTGGTGGCACATGCCTTTTAGCCCAGCACTCGGGAGGCAGAGGCAGCCGGATCTCTGTGAGTTCGAGGCCAGCCTGGTCAACAGAGTGAATTCCAGCATGGCCTTGTGTGTGTGTGTGTGTGTGTGTGTGTGTGTGTGTGTGTGTGTGTAGGCAGGGGCCAGGATAGGCTCCAAAGCTACACAGAGAAACCCTGTCTCGAAAAACCACCACCACCACCACCACCAACAACCAACAACACAGTAAAAGGAATCAGAGGGGATGGAGGACACCAGGGTAACACAGCTCCCTGGATCAACTAAGCAAGGCACATATGGGCTCACAGAGACTAAAGCAGAAATCACAGGACTTACATGGGTTTTCTTGAGGTCCTCCATGCATGCCCTCTAGCTATTAGTTTAGTATTTTTATGGGAGAAAGGGAGTGGAGGTAAGGAGGAAAGTAGAGGTGAGGAGGAATCTGGAAGAGCAGAGGGAGGGGAAACTATAATCAGGATATATGGTCTGAGAAAAGACTGACAAGAGACTTAGAAAGGGTTAGCAGCAGAGGGTAGGGTCAATAATAAAGCCAGTCACACCACAGTTAGAAAGTCCCATAGTGGAAAATGATCAGTGTGTTTATAAGGGAGTTATGTGTTAATCCCAAGAGCCACCCTGAAGCCACTATGAGCAAGAATTCCTGGAAAGAATCTATGTTTGCACAGGCTGATGGGCTGGCTAACCTGTCAATGGTGTGGAGAGATTGGGAGTTTGTATATAGCTCCAGAGCCTAGTGATAATTTATCTTGGCCTATGCCTAGCCCGTAAAGAGCCATTCTTTGCCACTTCTGTGTGGGAATTAACATCCTGTGACTAGAGATAAGGTTGAGCTAACATTCTAAGCAACAGACTGTATCAACTGAACAAAACCCCTGTTTTCCACCAATCAAATGGTTGAGAATGCTATCAGCTAGTATCTGAGGTCTATAGCTAAGATTTATCTGCTGTTGCAACCCATTTCTCTGATTTTTTGTTTGTTTTTGTTTCCTTTTGGTTTTGGTTTGTTTGTTTGTTTTTGTTTGCTTTGTTTTGTTTTGTTTTTTGAGACTGAGTTTCTCTGAGTAGCCCTTGCTGTCCTGGAACTCACTCTGCAGACCAGGCTGGCTGGGAACTCAGAGATCTGGCTGCCTCTGCCTCCTGGGTGCTGGGATTAAAGGCATGTGCCACAATGCCTGGCTATCTATATGATGTGTTTTCTAAATGTTTTAATTTGAGACTAGAGAGATGGTCTGGTGGTTTAGAGCACTTGTTGCTCTTCCAGAGGACCTGAGTTCAATTCCCAGCACCTACATCAAGTAGCTCACAACCATTTCTAGGGGAATCTTTCACCTCTGGCCTCTACACACACACACACACACACACACACACACACACATAATTTAAAATGATAGAAATAGGTGCTGGAGATGGCTCAGTGGTTAAGAACACCGGCTGCTTTTCCAGAGGATCCTGGTTTCATTCCCAGAAACCTCATGGAGGTTAACAACCATGTGTAACTCCAGTTCCAGGGCATCTGTCGCCCTCTTCTGGCCTCTGAGAATACTGCACACACTTAGTGCACAGACACACATGCAGGCAAAACACTCATATAGGTAAAAATAAGTAAATATTTTTAAAATGATAAAAATAAATATTTTACCAAGTCTTGATTTATGGCTTTGTTTGTGCTGTTACTTAATGAAGCTATGTGCACATTGGAACATGGAATTGTAGGTAACCTAAAATCATTCTTCCTAGGCCATGGTCATTTATATTTGGCTCTAGAGTAAACAAACTCTCTCAACCCCCTTGAAGTGAAAGCTGTTTTTACATTGACACTGTATTATAATTTCCTATTACCACTAAACCTTCAGTAAAATGCATGACCTCCCAAACCTTGCATGAGCAGAGCCTGAGGGTGAGAATGGCATATACACAGTGGCTTCCCAAGCCAGGCAGGACATGTGAGCAGGCAGAGCAAGCAGCGGATGCCAGGCTTCATGTGAGAGTAGGGAAGGAGCTGTGGATTCAGCTCCTCAGTGATTCAGGAGCTTCTGGAGAGAGATCAGGCTCTGCATCCATGGACTGGGCACTTTGAAAATTGGAGACTAAGGTAGGGGTCATTGGACATGTCCCAGCATCTTGGTTATATGACAGTCAACTTCCTGTGTCAATGTGCAGGCAGTAGAGACTCGTTCATGCATATTCACTTGGCACCATTTCAGACTGATGCTTTTTAGTAATAGTAGTAACATTTAAAAGTGTTGAGGCAAGTAGCAGAGAAACAAGGTAGAATTATGCCTCAGGAAAGCAAGCTGGCCTGTCTCCCGCCACCCAAAAACATTATAGGTGGTGGGGAAATCTATTGTGCACAGCTAGCATTCTTTGACACCATTTATTTTGTACTTTTCGATTCAATGTGACTTTTGTGATTTGTCCACATCGATGCACTGAGGATCTACTCTTAGGCTCCAAAGTGTCTACTCCCTGTGACATGGTTCACGCCTAGGCACACAGGGCAGAGGGTTTACTGTAGATCACTTGTCCATGGTGTGTAAAAGAGAACAACAGAGAAAGAAGAACCAAAGGAAAGTGAAAACAGAAACTGGAAATTCTCTTGGCATACGCCTGTGAAGTTTGCATCTACAAGACCCATGGAGGTTAAAAAACAAACACCAAAAACCAACAGGACACTGGACTTACAAAGGGGACACATATCAGAAGGCAGTGGCTTCACTCTCTTGACAAACAGGAATAATGTTCTTTCTCTAGCCTTGGGGAACCAAATAGACAGAAAGATCTGTGTGTAGACAGACAGACAGGATTTCTTCCTTTCCTTTTGTCCCCCCCCCGACTTTTCAAATGCTTGTGTCTTGGTTCTTTGTCTATCTGTATTCTATATTTTTCTTTCTGTTTGTGTTTTTTTTCCTTTCTAATTTTCTCCAAAAACCACACATATCTGCAGCCTAAAGCAGCAGAGATTGGCATCAGGACACAAGAGTTAAAAACTTGTTCTGGAAGACTGGATAAAAGGAGAAAGGGAGATAAGGGGCCATCATTCCCACTGTCAACCTTCTGTGCTACCTGACTTTTTTTTAAAAAAACATTTTTTATGTGTATGGGTATTTTTTTTAAGATTTATTTATTATGTATACAACATTCTGCTTCCATGTGTATCTGCACACCAGAAGAGGGCATTTGGTCTCATAATGGATGGTTGTGAGCCACCATGTGGTTGCTGGGAATTGAACTCAGGACCTCTGGAAGAGC